TTCGAATATTAGCAAACAAAGGAAAACTGCTACGCTTTTTGCAAGAAACTTACCGAAAAATTGGAAACCAAAGATTACCGAAAAAAAAAACAACATTGTCTTCATATTTGTGAAGAAATACATGTTCATATTTATGTAATCGTAGCGACAAAAATAAAAAAAAATAGAAATAGTGTGCATGATGCATTTACAAAAATATCTGAAGAAATGGGGATTGACATCAACGTTTAATTAGGATTGACGAGATCGACAAAAACTAATATCGGTGTTTGGAGCTCAATTTTTGTCAAAAACATGATGGTGAAAACCGCATATCGATATCTTTTACCGTTTCGGAGTTACGGGGTGTTTTTCAAAAATATGCATCTTTAACAAATTGCTAACAAATTCCATAGCAAAAAACTTTTTTGCTATGGAAAATTTTGTATTTTTATGAAAACATTTCTAAAGTACCTTTTTACGTAGAATTAAATGGTTTAAGTCTAATTTTTTTTAAATTAATAATTTAAGAATTATCAACAGAAAATTTGATTTTATATATAGGACACCCTGTATATTTTTAACTTATTGAAAATAATTTAAAATTACCTTTCCAAAAATATAACACACTTGATATTTTGCTCGATTACTCTTCGAGATATAGAGTATATAAAAATTCGCCCGCTTTAAATAAGTAGGCTTTGAACGGCACCGGCTGTAATGCAAAAAAAATCTAGCCGTGAGCATCAATTAAAACGAAAATAATATTTGCTATGAGAGATGCAGATTTTCATAACAATTTAAAATATATTTAACCAACATCAACACGTTTAAACTATATCTAATATCAATAAAAATAAATAGCAAACTAAAACATGAGATTATGCTACAGGTGTTCGACATATCGACCGTCTTTTGTTACAGACGGGGCAGTTTTTGAACATTTCTCGCGGAATTTATTAACTCAGTAGGGGTGAAAGATACCCTCTCATAACTGCTAAGTATTTATAATTCCTGTCTAGATTATACGGAAGAATTAGGAACCTTTATTTTTCCGCAAATATATCCATAGGATTAGATCCATGGGCACTAAGTCAAGCGGCCTCGACGGCCAACGGCTGGGATCTTGGTTAGCTATTCAATTATTCTTGAAATTGGCTGCAAAAATTTACTGATAACTTCAGCGTTCAGAGGCAGTGCGTCGCGCGTCGTCTTGGTGGAAAAATATGTTTTCGAGTTGCATTAAGGGCATATCATCAATAAGGGGTCCAAAGCCTACTAGTTAAAAGTGGCGAACTTATAAAAATTCTGTATTTCGAAGGGGATTATAACAAAATATCAAGTGTGCTATATTTTTGGGAAGGTAATTTTAAATTCTTTGCTGTTAATTAAAAATATAGAGGGTGTGCCAAATAAAAAATCAATTTTTCTGTTGATTACTCTTAAATTATTAATTTAAAAAAAAATATACTTAAACCATTAAATTCTACATAAAAAGGTGCTTTGGAAATGTTTTCATAGAAATACAAAATTTTCCATAGCAAAAAAGTTACAGCGATTCGTTAAAAATGCACATTTTTGAAAAACATCCCATAACTCCGAAACGGTAATAGATATTGATGTGCGGTTTTCACCATCATGTTTTTGATGAAAATTGAGCTCCAGACACCGATATTAGTTTTCGTCTATCTCCTATAGAAAACTAACTACTATAGCGTCGAATTTGACCCACTCTGTACATGATACTGAAATATTCGGATTTATTAAAAAAAAATTATATTATTAAAAAAAGAATTGCAGTTTTATAAAATAAAAATTATGCGCCTTTCGGATTTTTTAAAAATTTTAGAGGTTACTAGATATTTCGTAATAAACATATAGCTGCTATATTAAAAATATTTTGTGGTGTGTTGTTGCATAATCGACAAATTTCCAAGCATCGAATGGACGAAGGAACGAAGCGAAGTGACGAAGGAACGAAGTGAAGGGACGAAGTGAAGTAACGAAGCGAAGGGACGAAGTGGCAAAGTGTGAGTATGGGGCTTAACACTGGACTTTTTTTTGGTTGAAACTTGTTTTTTAGTTACGACTTGCTTTAGTTGCATCACTTATGATTTCCAACCACGATTTCTCTTGAGATATTTAAAGGCCAAAACGACATTACTTGTAAATTTTGAAGTATAATAAAATTAGTGGCAAAAGTTAAAAGTTGTTCTTTATTTTTTCGATTAATTCAAAAAAAAAATTCACAAAAAACGACAAAAAAACGTACAAAAAGCGCTGTACGAAGTTAGCCAGTGTTAGCTATTAATTACACAAAAATAAAATAAAGTATCTTTTTGGATTTTTATTTTATTTCTACTTAACTCAATAGCGCATCATTATTTCATACAAAATATCATTTTCAGGCATTAAACGGTTTGAAATGCACACGAAAAAATCCCTAGGCCTCCTTTTAAACGATATGTATCTCATTAGCGAGAGTCTCTGACAAAACAAAACAGAGACTAACTCTCTAACGTTACGGGCTGCAATGCGACTAAAGCATTAACTGAAGCCTCAGGCCAGCGAAATATATGAAGCCTTTCACCACCGGTTCTGAAGCATTTAAAAACTTAAAACAAAGCTTTTCCTATCTTTCCTTCTCATACTCGAGTTTTCGAAAACAAATAGCTCCAAGGGATTGTTAAATTTTTGATAGAGTCGACTGGAATAACAAGGATTAGTGTCCGCCCAAGAGTGCAGTTCGTCTGAAAAAATATTAATTTTTATTGTCTCTTTATTTATTATTTACTAAGTGTGGCCAATAAAGTTTAATTTTCATACATCGGTTATCCGACAATACGATGATACGATATTAATTTTATTGGTTGAATTTAAGTACTTCGATTGGTTAGAAAATTACGCAGTTTTTAAATTTATTCATTTTCATGCCTCCGTTCATCGGATGTACGATTTGCTTGGAGTTGGTGCCATTTTATATTTTTATTTCTTTAATGATTTCGCTGTTTTACTCATAGTCTAAGGCCCGTATTTATAGTTGCGTCTCGAGACGCCAAGACGGTCTTGGGCTCTTGAGAGCGGAATCCACAGAATACACGAGCAAACGTCATTTTGGAGATTGCGATTTTCATTTTGGAGATTGTCATGTTGGATAGTTTATGTGATCTGTGGATAGTTTCTTAACCTAACTTTTTTAGTAAACAAAATAAATCCCTTGTAAATCCGTTTTGTTTTATTAAACAGTTTTGAATATGTTAGATCAGTTTGAGGATATTTGGAACCATGTGGAAGAAAAAAATCGTCTTCGAGTTCCAAAACGATGTATAAGGGATGCCGGAAATCCAATAGAAATGTTTAGCTAGGGGAATTTAAATACCGATATAGGTTTAGCAAGGCTACAATTACAGAAACTATTTTACCTCTTGTAATTGAAGACTTGCAAAAACCTACCAATCGTGGTTTACCCATTCCCCCGTTATTCAATTATTAATTTGTTTACGGTTTTATGCGACTTCTAATTTTCAGATAGTAAGTGGAGACTTGCATGGCGTTAGCCAACCTACAATAAGCCAGATTATCAAGAGGGTGTCCATTTTAATAGCAGAACATTTGAGTGAATTTGTGATACAACCATAAATGGTTGAACAGCATTATTGTTCCAATGATACTGGCTTCAGCTTGTGCAGATGATGACAACAAATGGGATACATATATTAAGAATATAGAAAGAACTATAAATACATCTGTGAATAAATTCACTGGCGAAAAAAACACCTGAATTATTATATGGATATATTCCGAGGATTGAAGATTTATTTGAAGATGGACAAGTGAGGTTATTGGCAGTAGAGAATGGAAAGTACTCGATTACCTGAAAAATTGAGAGAAGAGATCAAAGAACATATAGAAATGGAACAAAGGAAGTATAAAAAAATTTATAGGCTAGCAGACTAGCAAAAAAAGAAGAGAGAAGAATGTCATCTAGACGACAAGAAATAAGGAAGCAGTAAAAACGCAATAATCATAGAATGTGTATTGTGAAATATTATTTGAAATAAAACTATAAAACATGGAGTATCGACTTTATATAGAGTGGTCAACTCAATAAGAATACAGAATTTACACCAAGCAATAAAATCTTGAAAATTATAGGTATACGGTGTATACATCCAATATTGTATATTGTGATATATTTATGTAAATATTCATGATGAAAATAAAAAAGACAATTTTTTTAGTTCTAATGTATTAGTGGGAAAATTCTGTGTAACCAGTTAAAACAAGCACTTAGCTGTCTGGTCATAGTGAGCGTAAAACTACTAAGATAAAGTATAGATAAACAGTATTTTTAAGATAACTAATAGACTATAAGAAATTACTTAAAATATGTTACATGTAAATATATAAACACTAAGAGAAAAGTAAATAAAATTATTATTAACATATTACATAATTCTAGATATACATATATTAATACAATAAATACATTAATTTGCAAAATGTTGAATAAGATTTCTTCAAAAATCTAACCCTCTTCCTTTTTATTTATAATTGGAATGTGTAAATTAGCATCTTCAAAATTATCTAAATTTTCCCTTAAACCAATATTATGAAGAACAGCTGTGGCGCAAATAATAGCAACAGTTGTTTTGTAAACCTCGGAGACATGGAAGATGTTTTTTTCCAAGTCCCAAATAGCCTTTTACATTTCGTTCTCTTCTATGGGCAAAGTTATACCTGGTTTCTTGTTGATTACCTAGCTGTAGAACAGGAGTCAATAGAAATGGCCTACACATCTATATATGCATTGTCTCCAAGAAGTAAACCAGGAATATCATGCCTTTCCATTAGCATTCTTAATTACTTCGATCGAATATAACACTATCATGACTTGACCCTGGATATCTAACTATAATATCCATAATTTCCCTTTTGGGATCTGAACATTTAGACTAAAAAAACTTTTGGGATTTTGAAATACTTCCACATTATTGCATTATTCTTGATTATCTGGCTTATTGTAGGTTGGCTAACACCATGCAAGTCTCCACTTACTATCTGAAAATTAGAAGTCGCATAAAACTGTAAACAACTTAGTAATTGAGTAACGGGGAGAATGGGTAAACCACGATTGGTAGGTTTTTGCAAGTCTTCAATTTATAAGAGGTAAAATAGTTTCTGTAATTGTAGCCTAGTTAAACATATATCGGCATAAATCCCCCCTGGCTAAACATTTCGGTATACCAACATTTCTATTGGATTTCCTGCATCCCGTATATATCTTTTTGGAACTCGAAGACGATTTTCTTCTTCCACATGGTGCAAAATATCCTCAAACTCTTCTAACATATTCAAAACTGTTTAATCAGACAAAACGGATTTACTTTGTTTACTAAAAAAGTTAGGCTAAGAAACTATCCACAGATCACATAAACTATCCAAAATGACAATCTCCAAAATGAAAATCGCAATCTCCAAAATGACGTTTGCTCGTGTATTCTGTGGATTCCGCTCTCAAGAGCCCAAGACCGTCTTGACGTCTCGAAACGCAACTATAAATACGGGCCTAAGTAGTGGAGTGCCCTTATGAGATACAAACCTCGGAATTCATTGACTGTGAACGAATTTTTATTAAACTTTTTGCATTGTATTGTTAATAAGATATATTACAAAGTTTACCTATTTAAATTCGTTGCTTTCACTTTAGTATTTAAATAAACACACACATATACAAATGCATACATACAAGATGGCTCCGTTTTCCGGAAAAGCTCTGTATCAGGATTCCTATTTGAGATTTTCACTCCAAACCTTTTACAAAATATTATGTTTAATAGTAGTTCACATTTCATTTTTTTTTAAAGATATACAGGGCGAGTCAAATATATATCATTTATTTATTCGAGTTTAATGAATTTGCTATAAAATTCTGGTTCCAAAAATACCTTAATACTCTTAATACCATAGAGTATATTAAATGGTCTTTGAATTATGGCCACGTCCATGAGGACGTTAATATAGACGTCCAGGAACCTTCGTATAAGAACTTCTAATCGAGACGATCGACTTATTGTAAGTTTATCGTTAAGAAACCGCCGTTTGCCAGCTTTTCAAATTGATAATGAATTGCACTTAAGAACCGTACATATTAACTAACGGACTACAAGAAGAAGATTAAATGAAGCAAATCTTATGTCAAGAAGGCCTGCTTCGGGACCAGAACTTACTAGATGTGTTGACTAGGCCCAAAAGCAAAGGCATGATCTTAATGTAAAAATTACGAAAAATGTTAGTGCCTTCTTTAAAACCGAATATTTCCAACAAAAATAAAGCTAATGAGATGAACCAAAAAACAAACCTTCGAGAAAGGATGTATCTAGGTGATAAAATTATTTTTAAATTTCTTGCTGTTTAAACATATTTCACAGGGTGTTTCAAACTTTCACCAAAAATATCAACATTTTGTTTTCCCTCGTATAATTAACAGATGGGGAGTTTCATTTTTAATTTAGAAAAAGATACTAAGAAGGCAAATAATTTGGCAACACACTGCTTAAAAAATCATCAAAATCGGCCCATTAAAATAAAATATATTAACCTTTAAAATACATCAAAGTTTTAAGGTGCCCATTTTTCGTGCTGGTGAATGTATTTCAAAAACTATACATTTTAGTCATATACCTTTCTAATGAAACTAACCTTTATTTTTTTACTAGAATCCATTCAATAAACATAACTTTGCTGTGTGACTTTTTTTGGGGACACCCTGTAGAACTCTACATAATTTTAGAAAATACTTTAAATTGACTTACATAAGCTCAGAAAATTTCATTTCAATACAAACTTTTGTTCTCCTTGCAAAAACCGCGTCGTATATGACGCGCCACCCTGTATAATTCGATTTCAATCAAAATTTCAATGATTAGAATATAAGCAGAATAGGTATAGCTTATGTATTAGATTTATTTATTTCAATAAATTTACTTAGAAAAAGAATTAAAAAAATCAAAATATTAAAAAGGAAATAATTAAGAATTTACTAAAATTACTAAAATAAAAAATTAAAAGCAACGAAAAAAAAAATGGGTAAACATATTAGTATTTTATCTATAAAACACAATACAGAAGGTTTCTCTGAGCACTCCACTAAAGAGCTAGCAACTTTTTCGAGAGAGAATTTTAAGAAGGCTAGCTCTTTAGTATATATTTTGCTACGCTATCTTGAACAGAGTGCGGACCGTTTGGTTGCCGGTAGACGTTGCGTTTACTACTGCGCATTATATCTGTATTCAACATGTGTTTACTACTGCGCATCACAAATTCGCCCTGTATTTCAAGAACTAAGGAGGCTAGGACAAACATATGTGTAGCATATTTAGTTTCATAAAAAAGTAGCAAAGTAATGTAAAAATCGCATCATTGTTTCTCTACTGATAGACGAGAGATCCTATAAAAAAAGATGAAAAGTGATGCGCAGTAGTAAACCGCAGTAGTCTATCGGCAGTCAGACGGCCCGCACTTTGTTCAGGAGAGCATAGCAAAAGATATAATGGGTGTGTCTCAGAAGTGGCTCACCCCTATAACTTTTTTATTTTTTTAGATAAAAAAACGAGATTTTGTATGTTAGTAGATAACATAAATTAGAATTGATTGACGTATTCAACTGTTCTGGGTCACTTCCTGTTTCACCGAAAATGACTAACTACTTTTGATTTTTAAATGGCACCCTTGGTATATTTTTATTTTATTCGATAGAAAATGACACTCTGAATAGAATAACATATCATATAACAGCTTTTGATATTTTTATATAAATAGCTAAGCCTAACTGCGCTTTCAGAGGGAGCGGACCGTACGCGCGGAGCGTCCGCGCGGATATTTTTTCAATATAGCTCATCCCGAGGCTCATCCGGACGGAGTATACGCGACCTATGTGAAATCGTTCTTATAAACTCATGGTACTTGCTCGAAGTCGCGGACGGTCCATCGCGGATGCTCCGCTCCATCTGAAAAAGCTGTAAAAGGCTCATGGTTTGATTGGTTATCTTTCTCTATTTGTTTCTGTCTTTCGCCTTTATTCTCCACCCATCCACTCTTATCCTTCTCAAGTCGTCTTCTACATCCTTTTTCCATCTGATTCTCGGTCTACCCCTCCTTCTCTTTCCACCTATTTCACGTTTCATTATTATACTAGGAATTCTTGCTTTGGCCATTCGTTCAATGTGCACAGCCATCTCAGTCTTTGTGCTCTTGCTACTCCCGTTATACTCGGTGCCCGATATAGTTGCTATACTTCTTCATTTGTTCTTCTGGTCCATATGTTGTCTATCTTCTTTGCTCCAAAATCTTCCTCAGTATTTTTCTTTCCCAAATCTCTAGCCTCGAACTTTCCGTTGCATTGAATGTCCACGTTTCACATGCATACAGCACTATTCGTCTTATCATTGTTTGGTACATTCTGATTTTTAACCTTCTAGAAATATTCTTACTCTTACTCTTACTTTGGTATTTTTACCTGAAAAAAATGTATGTTCAATTTAATCTAGAGTGCCATGGCTGTGTTAAAAACACTAATTTTTAATCGAGGAGCATAGATTTGATCGTTTAATGTTTTTCGTGTCTTGTCCTGGCCTGTTAAAATATGCTCAAATCGTATTTTTAATCATATCCGAATTTTTTCAAACCGATCAAGAGTGGCTCATTAGCATATTTGGTAAAAGCATTTTTTACGAATTATTTGGTATCACATAAATTTCGAGTCAAATTGTCGTTATGAACCGCATGTTACAATTTCAACTAAACCAATGACTAAAGAATCCAAGGACAAATAACACCCGAGAGCAAATTGTGACGATGTCACCAAACAGTGCCGTAGCACATATTTTTAACCTAGCTGTTTGAAGCAATATTTATATTTTTTGATAATTGTTTTGACTACGGCTATGGTGTATCATCCTAATTAATTACGATAAAAACGTATTAAAATGTTAACAAAAGGTACAAAACTAGTATCGACGTATAGCACATATCAAGTACATATAGATGTTAATTGAAATTGAAGAATAATTATCGAATTCAATAAAAAAACGCTAAAAAGTTGGAATGGACTGTTTATTTACCTATGAAACGTAACTCCTGGCTCTTTCTTATCGCTGCTGCTTTTACACTTGAAAGCTGAACAACTAATCACCATTGTAATAAAGTTTATACAAAGTTTACTGCACACAAACTATTAAAAATCGCTAAAATTGTCGCTGGTGACCAAATGATGACTCATTGTTTGCCACCAAAAGAAAGGTCTCTAAGGTCACAAATTCTGCTGCAGCCCGTATAGGGGCGTTACATGTCCTTATATTCTTTAAACATTGAACTAAACCATATGCAAAAAAGTCAAAAGTTGACGTTGATGATATGTCATTCTATTCAGAATTCAGAGTGTCATTTTCTATCGAATAAAGGAAAAAAAATACCGGGGGTGACATTTAAAAATCAAAAGTTGTAGTAATTTCCGGTGAAACAGTAAGTGACCAAAAACAATTAAATACGCGAATCAATCCAAATTTATGTCATATACTAGCATACCAAATCTATTTTTTTTATCTGAAAAAATTTATAAAATATAGGGGTGAGCCACTGTTGAGACGCACCCAATATAAGACAAATATCCATTTTAATACAGTCGATGAAAAACAAATAATCGTTTTCTTACCGACAAAACAAACTAAACTTAAGTCTTTAATCGATTAGAGAACGACTCCAGTTTCTCCAATTAAGATAATCGTTCTAACAAGTAATAACTCTAGTTTCCACTATCTTAATTAACGGGAAGCCGCTTAATCAGCGCGAAGTTGGCAACAAATTGTCATCGAGCGGCCCGACGATGTGACGGACTGATCGGTCCATTAATTCTGGACGCGTGACTGCCGCCAACTTCACGCCCGTTTGTAGGCCAGAATAGGTGTGAAAAGTATCGTTAAGTTGTTGATTTTTAGCCCAGTCACTTTAGTTACAATTTGACAAAAGAATAAAAAATATCAGAGAGTCACAAGGTTTGACTCAGTTAGTTTCTATTTGACAGGTAAATGACAAACTCACAGCCTTATCCACATATTTGATACGAGAAATATTTTCTGTTCCTTTCGTTAAGTCTTGTATTTTTTTGATTTGCATTTCTGTTTTTATTTTTTGATAAAAGAACATAGAAGAACAGGCAAGGTTCCTTACGGGACGATCGTGTATGGACCATATATTCACTCTGGTCCTTATAAATGAAAAAAATAGTGGCAACCAATAGAGATGTACCTACATCTGCTCTTTGTTGACCTTACAAAAGCGTATGACACCGTTCCGATCCACAAGGCCTGGAAAGTCGTCGAAGAATTCTCTATAAACAACTCAGCGACAGAAGGAGTTATACAGCTA